AAAGCCATTTGGAAGGTGATAAAAAAAAGATGAGGATTGATGTGAGACGTAAATGAGAAAAGAATCCTTGGGCTAGAAAATGGCTGCTTTGTGGATGCCAACGGTGTGCTCTACAAAACAGGGCAAAAAGCAGCCAACAATGGTTATAGGGTCCACTAACATGCAACTAAGACTAAGAGGATACTTCCATTCAAGCCTTTTACCAAGGTTGTCTTGGCTTGTCACATGCACAACTAGCTTAGCCTACAAGACAAGAATCCAAACTTTTGCATTCTTTTCTCAATTATGAATAGCTCTTTTTTCTTTTATTTTTGGGTAAATCAATAGGGGTAGAAAAAATTACGTTATACTATTTTACAACGCTGAAATAGGGTAATTGCGCCACATCATGAAGTAAATGACAATGAAGGAAATCTAGAGGTCTGGAGCACCAAATGGTGGCTTCTGTGAAAATTGTATTCTTCACGAGAACATTGGCCATCATATTAGCCTCACGCTAGACATGGCATATGGATTATGAAAAATTCTCAATACTGAATTCACAATTAGCAGCTTTATAAGTACATATAGATTTTTTTTTTTCTTTTTTGGGTAAATCAATGGGAGGAGAAGGGCCCCTATTCAGTTTTCATTAATCCAAGATAGAAAAAATTGCATCATACTATTTTACAACTCTGCAATAGGGTAATTGCGCAACATCATGAAATAAGATGAAGGAAATCTGAAGGTCTGAAGTACCAAATGGTAGTTTCCGTAAAAATTGTAGCCTTCTTCGTAAGAACATCGGCCAACATATTAGCCTCACGCTAGACATGGCATATGGACCATGAAAAATTTTGAAGACTGAACTCACAATTAGCAGCTTTATAAATACATATATTATAGGAAAAATATCTCCATACCCTCCATTTTTAAGTTTTATATCTCAATAGACCTAAGATTTCAAAACATATCTTGGGTCATAAAAATTCAAAGTTTTATATCTTTTAACCCCCTAAGTTAATTTTATCCTCTTAAACCTATTTTTTTGCCCTAAGCAAATATAAGAAAGACATATTCTTTTTAAACACCATAATTTCTGTCTCTTCATGTGATTTTCCTCTAAATTTCTCTCTCTACCAATTTTTCCACTCTCTCTCCCCCGTGTCTCTCACTTTCTTTCTTCCCCATTAGAGAGACAAAGCGGGTGAATGTTAGAGAGAGAAATTTGGAGGGAATATATCATGTAAAGAGATGAAGGGTTTAAAATGAACATGTCTTTTTTATATTAATTTGGGCTAAAAAAATAGTTAAAAGTGAGTAAAGTTAATCAGGAAGTTAGGAGATATATTTTGAATCTTTAAATCTATTGAGATATGAAAACCAAAAATAGAGAGTACGATGATATTTCCCCTATATTATATATACATTTATGTTATGTGTAGCAAGAGGAAAATAAAAAGGATGTTGAATTCAGTAGTTGCCATTTTATGTCATGCAAATTTTTTATAGACCCTAAATTTTTTTTTAAAAAAATACGAAATGCTCTATTTATAGGTGAAAATTACAAAAAAAGTCGGTCAACCAGCCTTTTTTTCAAACTTACCCTTTAGTATGAGGACATCCTCAGATCGAATTTTAATTATTATTTTTTAGGGTTTTTGTTAGTAGAGCACTACCCTAAAGCTTGGGCCACTACCCTATAAACAAAAAAAAAAACTAAGAAAAAAAAAAAGAATTAAATTTTAGATTGAGGATTCCACCTCAAACAGAGGCGTAATCTTGAAAAAAAAAAAAATGCAAGTTGACCGCTCTTCTTTATAATTTCTACCTGTAAATGGAGCATTTTGTAGTTTAGAAAAAATTTTAAAATGCGTACGTAAATCACTCTTTTTTTTTTTTGCGGATCAATAGGGAATATAAGGCCCCACCTGTATTAGTGAGAATGGATGCCATTATTTTTAATGGCGACTCAAGTGTTGCTACCACCACGCCCCTAGCCCCACACTGTTATGAGGCAATTTCATTTCAAAGAAATACAATCGAAGACTTTAGATGTTTCTAATGTTTACCATAGAATAATGCATAGGTGGATTGGATGTGCACCGCAAAATGTGAAAAATGTGTGTAAAACGTGTCGAATTTTATTATGGTATATAATTTTGATGCAAAATATTCTTAGATTATCTCAAAATCTATTTTATATCTAATTATAAAATTTTAATTTTCAAAAATGGTTAAAATCAAGTAGATCTATAAACATATGAAAATCTTGAAAATGAAGGGCGTAGATAATATGTTGTAAAATGCACTATTTCTTAGACTTAAAATCTTTTTATTTTTCATGATCATATACCTCGATGTCGAGATAATCAATCAAAGGGTTTTTCAACATTAAAACTACCTCTTCCGGTGGATTTTTGAGGTGCATCCATAGTTCTACATTATAAGGTTGCATCCTCATATAAACTTTTTCCTTTACTCTAATAAGTAATACAGAAATCAAGACAAAATAGGCCTCTATAGATTGTCCTTTTCAAAAAGCTAAATAGACTTTAGAGAAGATGTTCATGCGCATATTTACTTGTCATTGTCAAGAATTCCTAGTGAAGGAAAATATCAAACACTCGGAGTTTTACTAAAACTCATGAAATTTCTTAGAGAACAATTTTATCTTATTCCATACATCTTGTATCTTGATTTAGATTTTAATGGTTAAAAATAATAGAATAAAGTTGTTTACCTCTTGTACAAGGCCGTCACAAACATACAAAATTATGCTCGTAGTATTTGTATGATCTCAAAAATTGCATATATATTCTTGTTATCCCAATAGTCAATTTTTACAAAAACAAAGTACTTTAAATCTAGACCATCCAATTGATGAATTTCAAGATCTATGCCTTTGTGAACTCAAAACCATTGTTTTCTTTTTCAATATTGTTCATCTAATGATAATAAAGATGTAAAAAAAAATTCAAACGTGAAAAAATCATTTTAAGTCCTACATCTAATATTAAAAAAATGGACGGTTTATGTTAATTAGGCTAAAAAAGTACTTTCTAAGGTATATTTTCAATTTTTATTTTTTTAGTGATTGTTTATTGGAATAAAAAGAGTGTATATTTAAAAATTGGGGTCAAACAAATAGTATTAACTTGATTTTTTAATATTGTTTCATTGTATTACTATACATATGTTCTATGAAATCTTTCTCCTATTTCACATCTGACAGCTAAAAACGATTGTGACATCTTAATATCACAGTAAATAATCTTACAATATACAATCCGTTCAACTATAAAAGGATTAGTTCGGCCACCCATGATTTTGGTTATCTAGCCAATGTTTTTATTTTGCCAGCCAAAAGATAAGTGGAAAGTAGTAGCCACCGGCCATTTTATATTAGGATTCTCTTTGCTTTCCAGGGTGGATTACTACATCTTTCTAAATGTCTTAAAGCAATCGCCTAAGAGAATAATCTTCATATATCAAGTATCCTCAAAAAAGAAATCACTTTTTACAATAAATTAAAATGCCAACCACTCACCACCTAATTTGCCACAAGAAATTTTTTTACCATATATAAGCAACGCCTTCAACTGATTCAAGCGCTTGAGCTGACCATTTGGATTCCACTCCGCGTGGAAATTTAAGATCACAACCGTCCATTGTGTTGGTGGAGCTGGCATCCACATTTCCTCCTTCCTAGTGAGGATAGTATCTTTGCAACCCATAGAATAATCTCGGCAAAAAAAATTAAATTAGATAAACTCTCTATGTACTAGAAAAATCTTATGCTTCAAGATTGAATAGAGACCGTCTAATTTTTTAAAAGAAAAAGTTTATATTAAGCCGATGCTCTAAATAATCAAATTAGAGCCTACATCAAAATTTTCATTAGAAGAGGTTGTTTTGATGCCCAAATATCCTTAAATTGATCATCTCGATATCAAGATGCATGGACATGATAAAAATTGGATTTCAAGTTTCGCAAATAGTATATTTTGTAACACATTTTTGGACCGTCAATTTTCAAGATTTTCAAGTTTTCATAGATCTGTCGACCTACACTATTTTTGAAGCTTTAAACTTTATAAATAAAAATGAAAATATATTTTAAGGCTATCAAAAAGATTTCCAGTATTGAAACTACATTTCATGATACTATTTGAAGGGGGGCTCTAATTTGATTGTTTAGAACCTAGGCTCTATACAAACCACACCTTTTTTTAAATGCTAGATCTAAGTGTTAAAATTCAAATTATTTTCTTTTAAAAATATTCATCTAGTAATTTTTATGTGTTACCCAAAATTTTACACTAAGAAAATTCTCCTAACCAGATGTTTTGAGCGAGAGAGAGGAGTTGTGCAGTATCCTCCCTAGAGAGCATAGTCTGTGCGCTCTGGATGTAGTAGCACGACCAAACAAGGCTTTAACGTGAAAGGAGTGTAACACCTTATACCAATAATTTCATTTTATTTTTGGGAAAAAAGCTTCTCTGAATTGGCAAGTCTTTTTAATTGCGTGTTGGATTGAAGAAGGAATGGCTTAAAATAGAGGAAAAAGAATGATTACACTGCCCAACCAATACCTGACCCTTTCATAGTTAACAATGCGTGACACCAATGCAAATTCTAGAATACTGAATTCCATTATTCTCCAAAGAAACTGATATGCATAGTTGGGTTTAACCCACAAAAACTATTATTTTATAATATTATGTTTATTTGGACAAATAGAGCGGAATAGCAGTTCCTAATTCATGTAACTGATCCTATTAATTCAAAAAAAAAATTAAAATGCTTCTAGGGAGGACTTTTTCAACCTGGAACTTTGAATCCACCCAATAATCATTATATGATTGTTAAAAAAAGAAATAGATTTTGAGTTTTAAAGAACTTAAATCTAACCAATCAAAAACTTGTTTTTTTTATTTTTTTCAGAATTGTAAAGAGTATTAAATTTTGAGTTTTTAAACACTTGGAACTCACAATTTAAAAACTAAAGAATTTCTATTTAATCTTACAACAATTAATTTTTCAGGCAAGCAAAGGCATAATGCACTAAGATTTTTTTTTTATTTAAGGTTTTGTGATTGAAAAAGTCGCTTCCCCAAAATTTGAAGGACCTTAAAGGTCTCCTAAACAGAGTACCACCCGTGAGAGTGAACAGAATAAATCCTCCTGCGGGAGCACAGAATTTTTTGAGCCACAGTAGACCCGTGAGAGTGAACCGAATAACTGCTCCTCCGGGAGCACAAAATCTTTTGACCCACACTAGGGTTGACCTGGCCAGTCCCGGTCTGTTCCATGTTCCTTAGCCCTATCCGGGCTGGGCCTAGCCAGAAAAATTAAAAAAACCCAAAGGACAAAAAGATTAAAACAAAAATGGTTGTATCGGGCCGAAATGGGTCAGGTCCTTCTTACCTTGACCCAGGGCTGGGTCGATCCGGCCAAGCCGGGACACCCCGCCCATTGCCACCCCTACCCACATAGGTCATTAGCCACTCTCTTACCCTATACAAACTTCGTTTATAAACCCTAAAGCGAACACGAAATGAACCGTATGAAGATTACTTCATTTGGCAATAGGCTTTATATATCGCCTTTCCACTAATCCCAATTAACCACTAATCCCGGCCTTCTCTTATTTAACCCGAGCCCATAAGCAAGCATCACCATTCATTCCCTGTGGCTAGGCAAAATCCGAGCCCACCTCACCTCACCCACCTGACCATGAAAACCCCGAACCCACGAGCCCACTTTCTGAACCTGCTGCCCCTGTTGGTGTGCACGTTTCGTGCCATAGCACAGCTTGGTAGCTGGGAGCTGCTTCAAGAAAATGCAGGCATCTCAGCAATGCCTTCTCTTATTTAACCCGAGCCCATAAGCAAGCATCACCATTCATTCCCTGTGGCTAGGCAAAATCCGAGCCCACCTCACCTCACCCACCTGACCATGAAAACCCCGAACCCACGAGCCCACTTTCTGAACCTGCTGCCCCTGTTGGTGTGCATGTTTGGTGCCATAGCACAGCTTGGTAGCTGGGAGCTGCTTCAAGAAAATGCAGGCATCTCAGCAATGCACATGGCTCTGTTGAGCAACGGCAAGGTGGTCATGTTTGACAGGACGGACTTCGGGAAGTCGAACCTCTCGTTGCCAGCCGGAAGATGCCGGTCGGATCCTAACGAGCTCGCCCTAACCCTTGATTGCACTGCCCACTCGGCGGAGTACGATCCCGTCGCCAACTCTGTTAGGCCGCTCTTTGTTCAGACTGATGTCTGGTGCTCCTCGGGCGCCATTGCACCTGACGGCCGCCTCATCCAGACTGGGGGCTTCAATGACGGAGACCATGTCGTTAGGGTTTTCCAGCCGTGCGATAATTGTGACTGGGAGGAGTTCCCATCCGGCCTTGCTGCCCGCCGCTGGTATGCCACCAACCAGATCCTCCCGGACGGCAGGATCATCGTTATCGGCGGTCGTCGACAATACAATTACGAGTTCTACCCCAAGTCTGAGATGACTGCTGCAACCTTTCTCTTTCGATTCCTGGCTGAAACCAAGGATGCCAATGAGAACAACCTCTACCCTTTCGTCCACCTGAGCACAGACGGGAACCTCTTCGTGTTTGCCAACAATCGTTCCGTCCTCCTCGACTATGGCGGAAACCGCATCGTTAAGGTATTCCCGACAATGCCCGGAGGGGACCCCCGAAACTACCCGAGCTCAGGCTCCTCAACCCTCCTACCCTTGCGAATCTCACCGGAATTATCAGCTATCCCGGTGGAGGTGCTGGTGTGCGGTGGCGCGCCAACTGGTTCGTATGATCAGGCAAGGGAGGGGCAGTTCGTCCAAGCATTAGATACATGTGGGAGAATAAGAATCACCGACCCGTCCCCGCAATGGCAAATCGAAACCATGCCAGTGGCGAGGGTCATGGGCGACATGGTACTGCTGCCCACCGGAGACGTGCTCATAATCAACGGTGCCTCTGCAGGAACCGCAGGATGGGAATTTGGCCGGAATCCTGTGCTCTCCCCAGTCCTGTACAACCCGGTTGCCCCATCCAGTGCTCGGTTCCGAACCCTAGCCTCGACACAAGTGCCTCGAGTCTACCACTCCACCGCAATCCTGCTACCCGATGGACGCATTCTAGTCGGCGGCAGCAACCCTCATGTGTACTATAACTTCTCCGGTGTGCTTTTCCCGACGGAACTAAGGCTAGAGTCATTCTCTCCGCCATATCTGAGCCCGCAATTCTCCAGACTCCGGCCAAATATCATTTTTCCTGCTAGCAATCCGGCAACTATAAGGTTTGGACAACAGTTTCAGGTGAGGTTCTCTGTGGAGTCTATGGTGGGTGCAGAGGGAATCACTGTAACAATGGTGGCTCCTTCTTTTACAACTCATTCCTTTTCCATGAACCAGAGGCTTTTGGTTCTTCAAAATACGATGCTTACTGTTTTGTCTCCTAACGTTTATCAAGCGAACACAGTTGCTCCACAATCACCATTATTGGCACCCCCGGGGTACTACCTTATATTTGTGGTCCATCAAGGTGTACCCAGTTCTGCCATATGGTCCCGCATCTCAGCCTGAATTACAAAATTCAGCATGCTTACCATTTTTTTTAGGCCAATTTTGTTGTAATTTTATTTACACATATGGTTTGCATAATGTTACAACCTTGAATAATCAAAGTAATATGCACCTCAAAATTTTATCATAAGATGTAATTTGAGCATAGCCTTAAAATCTATTTTTCTCTCTGCCAAAAAATTTTTAAACTCGAAAAATAGTTCAAATTAAGCATATCTATAAATGCATGAAAATCTTGAAGATAGTCAATCCAGATAATATGTTGCAAGATGTAATATTTTTAGGATTTGAAATCTCTTTTTTATCCCTATCCATACATCTTATGTCAAGATGATCAATTAGCCTGTTTTCTAATATTAAAATAACTTTTTCCAATAGATTTGAGGTGCACCTTAATTCTACACTACAAGGTGTCAACCTTAAACCTTTTTTCTTTATTTACTTTACTCTTTTGGTTGTTTGATGAGATTTAAAGGCATTTCCTCACATGGGGTTTGGATATTTCATGCAGAGGAAATGAGCGTTAGAGATCCAGTGTGCCCTGAATGGACGGTTAGATTGAGCTTATAACAGTTTGCCTCTTAAAAATCTGAACCGCCCATAACTCACGTGCTTTCTAATGCACAATAACAGTTTGTTTTTTTTTTTTTTTTTTTGTTACTGTTATTTCCTGAATTGATCACGAGATCGTGCCAATGCTTATAAATGTCACGGGCACGCAACTTTAGATTGGATTTCAGCCTCAAACCTGCGCCTGTCCCCCCTCACTTTTGTTTGGTATATTTATAAACAATTTTGTCCAAAGTTTAATGCCCCCGCAGGTGCAGGATCCTTCGGGTTAAAACCCCATCTATTGGAATTTAGAAGACACCAGATTTCGAGGATGTCTCTCAAAACCAATAAAAATAAAATAATTTTGAATTGTATTTCTAGCTGAAAAATAACAACCCATGTTTTGAATTACATTTCGGGCTGAAAAATAGCACCCTAAAATTGAACAAAGATACTCTAGTTTGATTTAACTCGTTTGAAACCTAGTGGAAGTTGTACTTTAAAAAAATACTGATTCAGTGATTCTAAGTTGATACACTAATGTTATATAGATAAAATAACTCGGTGGAGGTCTTTTAGCCTAGGGATTAAGTGTACAGTATGCTCCAGCGAGAGCACACTACACATGCTCGTAACCCTCCGGCCACCGATCTCTTGTTCTGTTTATGTAATGCCCTTTATTGTTTATATCCATGTACTTTTAAAAAAAAAGAAACTTTAAGCAAGTTTCATTGAGATGATGAAGAAGTAGAATAGTGAAGAAAAGAAGGACAAAGAAAAGAAGGGGAAAACAGCAACCCTAGAAATAAAGCCTAGAGTTGGTGTATACAGGAAGTTGAGGTACAGTGGCCCCTTTGGCTAATCTCTCAGCATCGTCATTGCGCTCCCAGTATGTATGGATGAAGATCAGCACCAAGGGAGGTGCTTGGAATCCTTATACCAAGTTGTCACATTAGTTGTCACCTTCAACAATGACGTGCTGTTGGAATAGTTGGCAATGAGGTTGATGTAAACAAAGGAGTCATAGAATAATAAAAAAGCAATCTCTCTTCTCATGGATGTAGGCAAAAACGTCGAACCATGTAATTCTTTTCTTCTTTTTAATTTTCTCAACATTGTATCAGAACGCAAGAAAACCTTCGGTCAAAAGTTTCCTTGCCCTCCATTGAGTCGAGAGTAGACGCGAGGGTTGTGCATCTTAGCAATAGCTTTATAAAAACCAGCCGCAGTTGCTCATCAAAAAGCTTGCAAGCGGATTACCTTTCCTTGCTCTTTCTATCGCTTCTTTTTCATCCATGTGGAGACATTCCTTTTCTTTCCTTTTTTTGCCGTATGTTCTATTACTATTATTCATGCCATTGGTACACATCTCATTGTGGACGAGGTTTGCAGGGATATTTGCTTAACCAAGTCATTGTAACCAAATTGATTGGGCACGAAGTTTGCTTCCCAAATCTCTGTGGGTTTAATTTTTTCGATTTGCTTCTCAAATCTCAGTGCGTGTGTGCAGTTAAATCTTCTCTAAGAAAGCAAAAGCTTGTCACTTTTCATCTAAGAGAAAAAAAATCTGAAGACGAATTAGTGGCCTGTTTTGTTTTTGCAGCAGGTTTCCTTTGGCTTTGTTGTGGCAACACTCTTGACCACGTTTTCAATCCTTAAGCGCTACAGGTCAATTCTTCAGCTACGGTTTTTTTTTATCTTACTTGTGTGCCTTTGCCAAGGTCAGTAATTTTGTTTGGGCATCCATTTTTTTTTTTCTCTTCATGGCTGAAAATTCAAATTCAAATGAATCCAACCCAAATTTAAAAATTACTTCAGAACTTTTAAAGGGTGGGAACAATTATGTTTTTTGGTCCAATTCTGCATAAATATTTATTAATAGAAACGGAAAGTTGCCTTACCTAACTGGGTCAAAAAAGAAGGCTCCAAACAAAAATGACTCTATTTATGAAGAATGGCAAACAAACAATGACCTCATAAGGTCTTAGTTGGTGAATTCTATGGAAAGAAAATTAGCCACAAGGCTTCAGTTTCTTCATACTGCTAATGCCATTTGGAATAAAGTCAGAGAATTACATGGCAATTTAAATAATGCTTCCAAGATATATCAAATTAGACAAGAGATTATGCATTTAAAAAAGGGGGAACAATCTGTTGGATAATTAATTGGGACTGTGAGTGGCTTGTATGATGAACTTGATTATTATATGCCTACTACAACTGATGTGAACACTCTTGAAACTCATAAGGACCAAGAAATGACCTTTTCCTTGCTTTCAGCTTTGGGTCCTGAGTATGAAAGTGTCAGGAGTCAGGTACTCATAACACCTACCATGTTAAATTTTAGCACTGTTTGTTTCATTCTTTCTAGAGAAGAGACATGACGAGCTACAATGTCAGATGATGCTAAAGATAAAACTGATGTATCTGATCACTCTGCCTTGAAATCTGAAAATATTGAAGTGTCTCGAAAAGCCTTACCATCTAAGAATACTTCTTCTTATAGCAAAGGGCGGAACGGAAATGACACTCAACAGAAAATTGTTGGAAATTACATCCAAAAAAGAAAAGACAATTCCAAGAAAAAAAGAATATGGCCAATCAGGCAGAGAACAATACTCAATAAACCCCTAAGAAATTGGCTCAACTCCTTCAAAATGTTGGTAAGGCTTTCGTTGCATCTAATTCCCAAAGCTCCGGCAGTGAGCTAGGTAACTCTTCTTTACTTTCGCATTTTTTATCTTCCTGGATTATTGATTCCGGTACCACTGACCATATGACATGATCTAAACAAGTTTTAACTCAATATCATGCCTCTCAAAAAAATGCTCATGTTACTATTGCTAATGGGTCCATGATTTCTATTAAAGGAAGTGGAAAAACAACATTTTTTCACAATCATCCTAGTACTAATATTACGCACTTACCTGATTTCTCATCGTGCCTCTTTTCTGTTAGCAAAATTACATAAAATCTTAATTGCAATGTTATTTTTTCTCCTATCAATGTCTTGTTTCAAGATCGGGCCACGGGGAAGATGATTGGTGAGGGTCCGTTGGAACGAGTTCTTTACATATTGGATGTCCATTCAAAGACATTCATTCTAATAATAATAAGGTAACAGAGAGTCAGTTGTGGCATTAGCGTTTTGGTCATCCATCAGATACAATACTGATAGTTCTCTTTCCTCATTTGCATTTGGACAGTGAAAGTTGTGGTGTTTGTCGGTTTGCTAAACAGACTCGTTTGCCTATTTAGACTTCAAGTAGGATTTCCTCAACTTCTTTTAATCTGGTTCATTCTTATGTTTGGGGACCTGCACCTGTCCCCTCATATCAAGGATACCATCATTTTTTAACGTTTATTGATGATCTCTCAAGAACTACTTGGGTCTATCTTTTGCAAACTAGAGATCAAGTTTTCCCAACTTTTCGGTAATTCTATAAGATAATTGAAACTCAATATGGGACTCGAATCAAAATTTTACAATCTGATAATGGATCAGAATATGTTAATCATACTTTTTCTAAAAAATTTAAAGAAAATGGGATCCTTCATCAAACCTCATGTGTGGGCACCCCACAACGAAATCAGATAGTTGAACGAAAAAATAGACTTCTTTTAGAGATTGCCAGATCCCCCTAATGTTTCAATCTAATGTCCCAAAATGCTTTTGGAGTGATGCCGTGTTAACAGCCTACTACCTCATTAATAGACAGCCTAATAAATTTTTACAAGAAAAAACTCCTATTAAAATGCTAACAAAGAAGAAGAGCTCGTTATCTCACTTGAAGGTGTTTGGGTGTGTTTGTTATGTGCACAATCCTAGATTTGACAAACTTAGTCCTAAGGTACAAAAATGTATGTTCTTTGGCTATTCTCCTACAAAGGAGCCTTATAAATGTTATGATAATACGGAGAAGCATTTAATTATTTTTCACAATGTTATTTTTCAAGAAAACGAATCTAATTTTCCTCAAACCCAAACTGATGAGAAAAATAAGCTTGAAGAGGTGAATTATATTATGCCTCTTGTCACCAATGATGACTATGTTAAAACCGATACTAATCATGAAGGAACCAATTATGAAAGACACACTCAAGAAGAAGAACAACCTCAGGCCACCGACTCTTATACAATGGCTCCTCAACTGACCCCTCTCATGGTGCCCATATTGACTTTAATTGCCTTCGTCAAACCATTCGACCTCCAAGTAAGTTTTAAGATTTTCAAACTTACCAAGTTTCTTCAAACTATCACATTCCAAAGGTTTTAGATTATTCTAGAATCTCTAAAGAACACCATTGTTACATTAGCTCTATTTCTGTCAATCGGGAACCTACTAGCTTTCAAGAGGCATTTTCTCACCTTGTGTGGAAAAAGGCAATGAAAGAAGAGCTCATTGCTCTTGATAAAAATCACACATGGGAACTTGTCAAATTATCACAAAAAAAAAAAGGTTGTTAAAAATAAATGGACATATAAAATAAAGTACAATAGTAATGGTACAATTGAGAGATACAAGGTAAGGTTGGTTGTTAAGTGGTTTACTCAAACGTATAGAGAGGAATACAAGAAAACATTCGCTCCTGTTGTTAAAATGGATAATGTTAG